TCTTCCTCCTCCATCCTTGAGGCCTCTTCCTCTTCCTCCAGCTCTGAGGTATCTTCTCTATCATCCTCCATCCCTGAGGCCTCTTCATCCAGCTCCTCTAGCTCAGAAAACTCTTCCTCTTGAGTCTCTAAGTTGTTCATCTCCTCTGGCTTAGCAACTTTCACTTCTTTAAGAAATAGAAAGCTCAATCCATCACTGGTCATTTCTCCAGCTCTATGCTTTGAGTCTATTAGGGTTTTACCCTAAAGTTAAACAAAGAAAAAGAAGAGTTATTTATTCAAATCATTTATTTTAAAGAATTAAAACTTCAATTCACTAATTTTAATATGGCTTCCATTCTGACAATGGGAACATATCTGAAAAACTGCTTAAATATTAATTGTTCTTGAAGGCCTAGGTCCCTAAACAAGTCAAGTTTCCCTAAGATCATCTCAAGATATTTGTCATTTCTTGTGTAATCTCGGAACAAATTATATGAGGTCATAACGTCTACTTTCTTCCTTCTAGATCCCGCAACATTTACTGCTGTGTATGTGACTGATTCTCAGTAATTACCTGTTTTAATGAATTGTTTGCTTATTACATATGAGTCCTATGGTAAATAGGCATTGTAATCTGGCTAAAGTTTACAATCTGCTTTAGGAAGATGATAACCACACACAAACAAAAACGCCAAGCTCACATTTACCTTTCCCCACAGATAACAACAAATTTAATACAAAAATTTTTTTTAAAAGACCCCAATTGCAGTTTACACTATAGCCTTATGACTTTAAAGACAAGCAGGCTTTGGTTAGGAATAAAACAGGCTCAGTTCAAAACTATTCAAACCCTGGCCCAATTGCCACATTTGCTACTAGTGCCTCACTTTTCCTTATAAAGCAGGGTCTAATGACAGTACCACCCCAGGATTGTTGTAATGTAAAGCAAGCAAGGTACTGAGCTTCTGATGATGTCTGCAATATAAATGTTGGCTCCTAATATTCCTTGAAGCCCTTAGTCGGCCATTGAGCTTTTCAGTCTTCCCAAACCCACCAGGACAGGTTAGGTGCCTCATCTGTGTAAACACTAGAAGCAGCTAATTTCTGGAATTAAATACTGATTTTTAAATAATTTGTTGATTCAAGTGTACCTTCTCCTTCTGGATTCTCACTTTGCAGAGGTTACACTTGGAAATGTGGGAAAGGCAGAGGAGAAGCATTCATTTGGAAACATGTAAAAAATATTGGCTTACAAATCTAGACCTTGGCTGGGTATGGTGGCTCACACCTGTAATTCCAGCACTTTGGGAGGTCAAGGCATGTAGACTGCTTGAGCCCAGGAGTTTGAGACCAGCTTGGGCAACGTGGCAAAACCTTGTCTCTACAAAAAGTACAAAAATTAGCTGGGCGTGGTGGTGCATGCACGTGGTCCCAGCTATCGGGAGGCTGGAGTAGGAGGATCACTTGAGCCTGGGAGGTGGAGGGTGCAGTGAGCCCAGATTGAGCCACCGCACCCCCACCAGGGAAACAGAGCAAGACTTCATCTCCAAAAAAAAAAAAAAAAAAGCACCTTCCAGCACAGCAGCCATTGGAGAACAGCAGCCACAACTCTGTGTGACCCTAAGGCTTTGGGCCTCAGCAAGGGCAACAAGGTGATCAAGAACATGACCAAAAGCCCAGGTACAGCTGCTGCTCCAGCCATCTGACCAAACACACCAAGTTAGTGTGGGACATGATCTGAGAGGTGTGCTGCTTCGCCAGGTAGGAGCATCACACCATCCATGGTGTGATGGTGAGGGCCTGATGAAAGAGGCCCTCAAGTTCATCAAGAAAAGGCTGAGGTCACACATCCACACCAAGAGGGAGAGGAGCTGAGCACCATCTTGGCCACCATGATTAAACCAGCTGCCAAGAACGACTGAGGCCCCCTTGCCCTCGGCACATAATAAAACCTTCACAGAAAAAAAAAGTGCCCTTTAAATCATTACTTTTAGTATTATGCTTTTACTTTTAAGGAATCATTTTTCTTTAATTGATTTATCTGGCCGGGCGCAGTGGCTCACACCTGTAATTCCAGCACGTCGGGTGGCCAACGTGGGTAAATCACCTGATGTCAGGAGTTTGGTTTGAGACCAGCCTCACCATCATGGAGAAACCCGTCTCTACTGAAAATACAAAATTATCTGGGCATGGTGGCACAAGCCTGTAATCCCAGCTACTCAGGAGGCTGAGACAGGAGAATCACTTGAACCTGGGAGGTGGGTTTGTGGTGAGCCAAGATCGGGCCATTGCACTCCTGCCTGGCCAACAAGAGTGAAACTCAAGAAAAAAAAAATTGATTTATCCTTCAAAATAACCGTGCCAACTATTACATTTATACATAAGCTTTATCTATTTGTACGCTTACCCTTTTTTCTTGAGTTCCATATCTTCTTCCTCCTCCACTTATTTCTTCCTTTTGTGGGAGTACATCTTTCAATAATTCTTTCATAGAAGATTTTTGGCTGGCAAATTTTCTAAGGCTTTGCAGATCTGAAAATGTCTTTATTTCACCATCACATTTAAATGCCAATTTAACTTTGCACAGAAATTTAGGTTCAAAATCATGTTCTCTCAGAATGTTGAAGACATCACTCCATTGCTTACTAATATTCAGCGTTGCTGATGAAAGGTTGGCAGCCAGGGTAAGTACTGCTCCTTCATCCATCAACACTTTTTCTTCTCTGGAGGCTTTTAAAATGTCCTCTTTATTCTTGAATTTCTGAAATTTTTTTTCCTCTCCCATGTCTTTGACAAATTCATCCTCCCCATCCTTCCTTCTCTCTCCTTCTGTAATGTCTAAATGGACATTGTGATTTCCATGTCTGTCATCTACATTGCATAAGGTTTCTTCCATACTTCCAAGGACTTCGTAACTTTGTGATTCATTCTGGGGTAATTTCTTACCTTCCTTCCTATTGTATTCATCAGCGTTGTCTAATTTCCTGCTCAGCTCATTTACTTCTTTGACTTTAAAGGTTAAATTCTCAATATCATCACCTACTTTAGAGTTTTCTCCTTCCGTTTTCCCTACCATCCCTGTTTTTTGTAATGCTAAATTGATTATTTGTTGAAACTCTGTCCTACTACTGGAGTTCTCTGAATTCTTTACCTCAGGTATTGTAGTTTTTCCTCCTAAAATTGCCTTTAGGTCACTTTTAAGAGTTTCTCTCATCTCCTCAAACTTCAGGTCTTGAATTTCCATTAAGACCTTAAACTTATTCATAACAATTGCTGATACATCCTTGCAGTTTACATCTAATACTGGAGCTATGTCCTTTTCAGTTTCTGTTAACTGCTTTCTTTTCATATAGGTGATATTTTCCTGTTTCTTTGCAAGTCTAGCAAATTTTGACTGTACACTACTAGATACATCAGACATTGTGGATATGTTGTCAAGACTGGATTCTGTTTTTAATTCCTGCAGAATGATTTTGTTCTTACAGGTCGGCTAGACCTCAGAAATTAAAAAATCTTAAAATATGTCAATCTGAAATACAAAGAAATGAAAAATTACTTACTGAAGAATTCTCTTGAGAAACTTTGTAAGAATATGAGCTTAGTTAAGAAAACTATGCTGGGTGCACTCCATAATAAATTAATAAAAGGTTCACTAACAAAATGGGTATCTGTAAACTAAGACCAGAAAAAAATTAGAATTCATAATTTATAGATTATCATGAAAACTCCCTTTATATAAAGATTTGAATGCAATAAATTAACCAAAGAGCAGATAACTAAGAATGAAGCTGTCTGATTTGCCATACTATTAGCTTTGTTGTCTATGTTCTCTATAATGAGTAGATTAATTACAAGAAAATAGATGTTATTCTTTAAAAAATCAACATATGTATCATACCAAATCATCCAAGTCTCAGCTAACTTGAATGGAATCTTACAGAAAATTGAGAAACAGGTGTCCCTTTTGAATTGCAGAGATTATTAAGACTTTTTCTGAAAACCAGTTATCAAGTCAATTCAAAATTACTTTCTTGGCCAAGCATGGTGGCTCATGGGTGTAATCCCAGCACTTTTATAGAGGCTGAGGTGGGAGGATCACTTGACCCAAGGAATTCAAGACCAGCCTGGGCAACATAGGGAGGCCTTCTTTACAAAAAATATAAAAATTAGCTGGGCATAGTGACACACGCCTGTGGTCCCAACTACTTCGAAGGCTCAAGAGTTTCACTATGTTGGCCAGGCTGGCCTCAAACTCCTGACCTCGTGATCCACCTCCCTCGGCCTCCCAAAGTGCTGGGATTACAAGCGTGAGCCACCGTGCCCAGCCAAGAATATTGTTTTTTAGATTACAGGGCAATCTAGAAAGGGTTCCTTGGTGAAGGCAGGTGAATCACTTGAGCTTAAGAGATTGAGACCTGCCTAGATAACATGGTGAAACTCTGTCTCTACAAAAATATAAAAAAATTAGCCTGGTGTGGTGGTGTGCACCTGTAGTCCCAGCAATAACTGAGGCTGAGGTTAAGAGGATCACTTGAGCCTGAGGGAGGCAGAGGATGCAGTGAGCTGACACTGCGCCACTGCACTCCAGCCTGGGTGACAGTGTCAGACCCTGTCCCCTCCCCTTCAAAATAAGAATCATATAAGCAGCTAAAATGTCATTCATGTCAGGACAAAAGATATCTGCTGAGCACCCAACCAAGAATTTCAAGCAGGGCACGGTGTCACACTTGTAATCCCAGCACTCTGGGGGGTTGAGGTGGAGTGATTACTGGAGCCCAGAAGTTCGACATCAGCCTGCACAACATAGTGAGACTCTGTTTCTAAAAAATAATTGAAATTTTTCATTGCAATAAAAACTGAACCAGGAAAAATAATAGCATAAAATTAAAAGATAAAATAAATTTAAAACTTCTATGTTTAATGTTTAAATACTAAAGGTTAAAGTTATTTAAATTTTAAAATGACTAATCAGTCAAACTAATGGAGAAACTTAAAATACTAAATCAAAATGATAATTACCTATCAAAACTTGGGGAATGTAGCTGAAGTGGTGCTTTGAGGAAAATGTATCGACTTAAAATGTTAGAATTTTCTAGAAAAGAATAAAAATTAAAGTTAAATTATCAGATTAAGGGCAAAATCTACCCAAGAAACCAAGAGATGTGCACAAATCAAAGAAATGAAAAACAGAAATTTATACAGAATTAACAAAACCAAAATACAAATAAGGAACACTATGAACAAAAAGGGGGCACAACTACAGATAAAGCATGGTTGAAAAATGGGAGCACCATTCAACTTTCATAATTAAATCAGAAAATTTAGAAGCGACTATTATCATAGTTGTGCCCCAACTCTTCTAGAGAATAGTGAAAAAAGGTCAGGCACAGCGGCTCACATCTAGAATCCCAGCACTTTGGGAGGCCAAGGCAGGTGGATCACCTGAAGTCAGGACTTCGAGACCAGCCTGGCCGACATGGCGAAACCTCATCTCTACTAAAAATACAAAAATTAGCCGAGGCTAGGCGCCATGGCTTACGCCTGTAATCCCAACACTCTGGGAAGCTGAGGCAGGCAGATCACAAGGTCAGAAGATAGAGACCATCCTGGCTAATACGGTGAAACCCCATCTTTACTAAAAATATAAACAAAAAATTAGCTGGGCATGGTGGCGGGCACTTGTAGTCCCAGCTACTTGGGAGGCTGAGGCAGGAGAACGGCATGAACCTGGGAGGCAGAGCTCGCAGTGAGCCTAGATGATGCCACTCCATTCTGGCCTGAGCGTCAGAGCGAGACTCCATCTCAAAAGAAAAAACAAAAACAAAAACAAAAATTAGCCAGACTTGGTGGCACGCACCTGTAGTCCCAGCTACTCAGGAGGCTAAGGCATAAGAACTGCTTGAACCCGGGAGGTGGAGGTTGCAGTGAGCCAAGATCACGCCACCATACTGTGCGATAGAGTGAGACCCTGTCTCAAAAAAAAGAGAGTAGAATGATGGTTACCAGTGGCTGGGCAGGGTAGTAGGTGGATGGGTGCAGGGAATACGGATGGCTAATGGGTACAAAAATGATCTAGTATTTGGTAGCACAACAGGGTACCTACACTCAACAATAGCTTATTGTATACATAAAGAGAATAATTGCAATGTTTTTAACAAGAAATGATAAATGTTTGAGGCAGTGGATAGGATACCCCCATTTACCCTGATGTGATTATTACACATTGCATGTCTGTATGAAAATAAATAAATACATCTACTATGTTACCATAAAAATTTAAAACAGGCCAAGCGCAGTGGCTCACACCTGTAATCCCAGCACTTTGGGTGGCTGAGGTGATTGCTTGAGCCCAGGAGTTTGAGCAGCCTCAGCAATATAGTGAGACCTCATCTCTAGTTTTTTTAAAAAAACAAATTATGCCAGGTGAGGTGGCTCATACCTGTAATCCCAGCACTTTGGGAGGCTGAGGTGGGCGGATCACCTGAGGTCAGCATTTCTTGACTAGCCCGGCCAACACAGTGAAACGCCATCTCTACTAAAAATACAAATTTAGCTGAGCGTGGTGGTGGGTTCCTGTAGTCCCAGCTGCTTGGGAAGCTGAGGCAGGGGAATCAGTTGAAGCCAGGAGGTGGAGGTTGCAGTGAGCTGAGATTGTGTGGTTGCACTCCAGCCTGTGTGACAAGAGCAAGAGACCAAGACACTGTCTCAAAAAATAAAAAAAAAATTCAACCCAGGATGTGGAAGTTGCAATGAGCCCAGCTCATGCCTCTGGGCTACATACAGAGTGAGCCTCTGTCTCAAAAAAAATAAAAAATAAAAAATTATAAATGAACAGCTAAAAAAAAAGAAAAAAAAAGCATGATAGTTATAAAAAATTGTTTTAAAAACATGGCACTTATCTATCACAAAATAACTTCCAAAATATGAGCAACAGGAGGTAAGGGGGACAAATGTATACAGAAAATCTTGATTACACCAGAGAAAAGGTTAAAAGAAGAAACATGTAAATGATTACTAAAAAAGAGAAGGAATCAGTATTAGTTACACACTTAATCCCCTTTTTTTTTGAGATGAAGTTTCACTCTTGTTGCCAAGGCTAGAGTGCAATGGCGTGATCTTGGCTCACCGCAACCTCCGCCTCCCAGGTTCAAGATTCTCGTGCCTCAGTCTCCCAAGTAGCTGGGATTACAGGCATGCGCCACCACGCCCAGCTAATTTTGTACTTTTAGTAGAGACGAGGTTTTTCCATGTTGGTTAGGCTGGTCTCAAACCCCCGACCTCAGGTGATCCGCCCACCTAGGCCTCCCAAAGTGCTGGGATTACAGGTGTGAGCCACCTCACCCAGCCTCATCCTCTTAATTAAGTAAATTTAAAAAACCAAGCAACAGTAGTATCTGAATCTAATCAAGGACTGAGAAAGCAACCGAGTAGTCCACAGGACAGGTCTGTAGGAACTTATACAGGACTTCAACAGGAATAAAGGGGCCCACTCTCATTCAGAAGACTAAGGGAATTCACTAGATGCAGTGTATGCTCCCCCTATTTTGGATCTCTATTTGAATGAATCAACTATAAAATGCAGGGAGTATTGAATATGGACTGATTATTAAATGATATTGAGGAATATATATTTTATTAACTGTAACAATACTGTATTTAGTTAAGAAAGTGTCCTTATTTTATAAAAATTACATACTGAAGTTTTTACAGGTGAAATGGTATGATGTCTGGGATTTACTTTAAAACACAGCAAACAAATAAATAAGAAAAAAGGGAGATTAAGCAAATGGGGAAAAATACTTGTTTTTGAATCTGGATGATGAGTTCTTTCACTGATGTTTGAAAATGCTACTGGCCGGGCGTGGTGGCTCACGCCTGTAATCCCAGCACTTTGGGAGGCCGAGGTGGGTGGAACACGAGGTCGGGAGATTGAGACCATCCTGGCTAACATGGTGAAACCCCGTCTCCACTAAAAAAATACAAAAAATTAGCTGGGCGCGGGGGCGGGCGCCTATAGTCCCAGCTACTTGGGAGACTGAGGCAGGAGAATGGCATGAACCTGGGAGGTGGAGCTTGCAGTGAGCCCAGATGTCGCCACTGCACTCCAGCCTGGGCGACAGAGCCAAAAAAAAAAAAAAAAAGGAAAGAAAATGCTCCAATGCTTTTTTTTTTTTTCTGACGCAGGGTCTCACTCGCTGAGGTTGGAATGCATATGGCACCGGGCCTGGCCTGATAATGCTTCTAAATTTTTTTTCAAACTGAAAATCCTTAAGGAAAACCACTGAGCTCTCCCTGGTGAAACAGACTTCTACTTGCCAAGATGAAACAGAAAGCTGAAAACAAGGGTAACATGTTCACATGCAGACAAATTCTTTTGATAACAATTGTGCCTTTATTGTGTCCAATAAACGCTACAATAAGTGAACTTGAGGCCGGTTGCGGTGGCTCATGCCTGTAATCCCAACACTTTGGGAGGCTGAGGGCAGATCACCTGAGGTCAGGAGTTCCAGACCAGCCTGGCCAACATGGTGACTAGCCTGGCCAACATGGTGAAACCCTGTCTCTACTAAGAATACAAAAATTAGCTGGGCATGATGGCGGGCGTCTGTAATCCCAGCTACTCCAGAGGCTGAGACAGGACAATCACTCGACCCTGGGAGGCAGAGGTTGAATTAGGGTTAATGCCACTGCACTACAGCCTAGGCAACAGAGCGAGCAAGACTCCATCTCAAAAAAAAAAACTAAAACTAGGCCGGGCGCAGTGGCTCAAGCCTGTAATCCCAGCACTTTGGGAGGCCGAGACGGGCGGATCACAAGGTCAGGAGATCGAGACCATCCTGGCTAACACGGCGAAACCCCGTCTCTACTAAAAACACAAAAAATTAGCCAGGCGAGGTGGCGGCGCCTGTGGTCCCAGCTACTCGGGAGGCTGAGGCAGGAGAATGGCGAGAACCCGGGAGGCGGAGCTTGCAGTGAGCTGAGATCTGGCCACTGCACTCCAGCCTGGGCGACAGAGCGAGACTCCATCTCAAAAAAAAAAAAAAAGAAAAAAAACAAAAACAAAAACTAAAACTAAAACTAAAATAAAATTGATAAACTAAAACAAATTAGAAAACAATGTCCTTAAAAGAGAAGGATTGAACAAATGATGGTTTATGTACACAATGCGATTATATATAATAGATATATATAAGTATATATAATACATTAATTTATAAAATATACATTATAATATACATTATGGCCAGGCACAGTGGCTCACGTATGTTAATTCTAGCACTTTGGGAGGCCAAGGTGGGTGGATCACCTGAGGTCAGGAGTTCGAGACCAGCCTGGCCAAAATGAAATCCCGTCTCCACTAAAAATACAAAAATTAGCCAGGCGTGGTGGTGGGCGCCTGTCATCCCAGCTACTTGGGAGGTTGAGGCAGGACAATTGCTTGAATGCCGGAGGTGGAGGTTGCAGTGAGCTGAGACCACGCCATTGCACTCCAGCCTGGGCAACAAGTGTGAAACTCCATTTCAAATAATAATAATATACATTATGTTATATATACACACCATATGTTATGATATATATACTCTATATGGTGCATACAATATGTTTAATGTACGTATAAAAATTATACTTTACCTAATAGAGTATATTAGAATCATACACATTGGTTAAGGATGTCTTTGGTACGTTAGAAGGAAAAAAACGGTGCAGAAAATATACAGAGTACAATCCCATTCTTAAACACATATACAAAAACCGTATGTACAGTAAACACAAAAAGATTGGTCAATTATATTAGTCAGGAGAATGCATATCAAAACACATTCCAGTGTTTGAACATCCTGATTACAGCCAGTGCAGGGGCAAATATCCACTCTGGTCACATTCATAGTGACCCTGGGGATTTTTAGACCTTTTCAGTAATTAATCTGGCCGGTGCCCTATTATGTAACACTACCTTTTTTGGGTAATGTGTTTTCCAAGAGTCACTCTATAGTACATGATAGGTGCAATGAGAAACCGGAAATTAATTAACTTTTTAAAAAGAGACAGGGTCTTGCCATGTTGCCCAGGCTACACTCAAACTCCTTTCTCAGCCTCCTGAGTAGCTGGGAATACAAGCACACACCACCATGCCTGGCTTAAAACTGAAAATTACAGCCCGGTGCAGTGGGATTTATTATTTGTCATTAACTGTATCAAATGCTACTTTTTTTTTTCCTTTTTTTTGAGACAGAGTCTCACTCTGTCGACTAGGCTGGAGTGCAGTGGCACAATCTCGGCTTACTGCAAACCCTACCTCCCGGGTTCAAGTGATTCTTCCACCTCAGCCTCCTGGGTTGAGGACTACAGGCACACGCCAGCATGCCCAGCTAAGTTCTGTATTTTTAGTAGAGACGGGGTTTCACCGTGTTGGCCAGGCTGGTTTCAAACTCCTGACCTCAGGTGATCCACCCGCCTAGGCCTCCCTAAGTGCTGAGATTACAAGCATTACTGCTCCTGGCCTCAAATGCTGAAGGCTAAATTATAATTAGCGTTTAATGACAATAAATATACGTGACCTTTTTCACATCCAAGATATCACATACTCTGAATTCTAGCCAGGCACTACCCAGGCACTCTGGGTTCAGAATCCCTGATCAAGAATAAAGCAGAGGCTGGTACAAATTTAGCAAATTTTGCCTCAGGGCTGGATGGTAGCCATCAAAAGGGCTCAGGGACCAGGCGTCCTGGCTTCTGCCTGCAGTCTGAGCTACTTGGGGGGCTGAGGTGGGGGGATTACTTGAGCCTAGGAGTTCAAGGTTACTGTGAGCTAGGATTGCATCACTGCACTCCAGCTTGGGAGGCAGAGCAAGACCCTGTCAGAAAAAAAAAAAAAAAGAAAAAGAAAGTGATTAGGGAGACTTGGGAGATTTTCATCAGTGTACTCACAAGTTCTGCTTTATATTTTAAGGAGGTTACTCCAAAAGTATGCAATATAGGAGAACACCGGTTGGGAAGGCAAAAAATGTTTAGCACTTCCCTCAAGGGACTGGGGGTTGGGAGGGAGAATAAACTTTTCCTTTAATTTTAGGGATGGAAAAAAGCTTGCTGATTTGCATTGCCTTGGCTTGTGACTGCCATCTTTTCATATGTTTATCTGCTTGCATTTCCTTTGTGGTGAATTACCTTTTCAACACTGGCAGCCTGTTACTGGGGGGTTGGTGTGTGGGTTTTTCTGAATTTGCTGGGGGATTATGGACTTCTCTTTTATTTTTTCTTTCTTTTATATAAGAAAAATTAATATTCCCTCACCTCAGTCTCTATAATCTGACCTCTGAGGCCACCCAAAGTTTGGTGTGGTATCTCTCACAATGTACAGGTGACTTTTCTTTTGTGTTTTCGCTTTTTTTTTTTTTTTTGAGGTCTCACTCTCACCCAGCGTGACAAGCAGTGGCATGATCACTGTTCGCTGCAGTCACAAACTCCTGGGACCAAGTGATCCTCTCACCTCAGTCTTATCCTAAGGAGCTGGTATTACAGGCATGCCACCATACCAAGCTAAAGTGCCTGATTTTTATGGGTGCATAGGAGGACAATAAAGAAGAATGCCAACTTCGAATTCTAGTTGGTATGTCTCTTTCCTTAGGTCAGGGGACATTTAATTTTTTTTTAATAGCTTTATACTTTTAACATTATTTTTCTTTTTCAATAGGCCATTTGTAATCTTCCAGTTACATGTGCACACCTCACTTTTCTATGTGTGACATGCCATATTTTGAACATATTGAACATATTTTGGTTCAGTAAGTAATTCCCTCAGCAGTGGGCATTCAAGTAATTTACAGGGTTTTGTTTTGTTTTTGAGATGGAGTCTCAGTGTCACCCAGGCTGGAGTGCAGTGGCACAATCTCAGCTCACTGCAACCCCCGCTTCCCAGGTTCAAGCGATTCTCCTGCCTCAGCCTCCCAAGTAGCTGGGACTACAGGAGCGTGCCACCACGCCCGGCTAATTTTTGTATTTTTTAGTAGAGATGGGGTTTCGCCATGTTGGCCAGACTGGTCTCGAACTCCAGACCTTAAGTGATCTGCCCTCCTCAACCTCCCAAAGTGCTGGGATTACCGGTGTGAGCCACCACGCAGGTCCTACCCTTTAATCTTAAGTAGTGAGTGCAAAACTTGCAACAACTGTTATGTGAAATAAAACGTGGTTTCTAGTGATTACGAAACTGTGGGTTCTGCTAATAGCACCAGACTGCAAAAGGGTCCTAATCCACACTATAGTTAGGACTCATTTCTTTATCAGACCCAAGGTCACTTCCCCTGTTTCACTCTAAAATACCCCTCCCCAGTCCAGGCGTGGTGGCTCACGCCGGTAATCCCATCACTTGGTGAGATGGAGGTGGAAGGATCACCTGAGGTCAAGAGCTCGAGACCACACTGGCTGAAATGACGAAACCCCGTCTCTACTAAAAACACAAAAATTAGCCGGGCATAGTGGCAGGCGCCTGTAATCCCAGCTACTTGGGAGGCTGAGGGAGGAGAATCGCTTGAACCCAGGAGGCGGAGGTTGCAGTGAGCGGAGATGGCACCATTGCACTCCAGCCCGGCAGACAAGAGCGAAACTCCGTCTCAAAAAATAAAATACCCCACCGGTTGGCCGGGCGCGGTGGCTCACGCCTGTAATTCCAGCACTTTGGGAGGCGGAGACGGGCAGATCACGAGGTCGGGAAATCGAGACCACCCTGGCTAACACGGTGAAACCCCGTCTCTACTAAAAATACAAAAATTAGCCGGGCGCCTGTAGTCCCGCCTGTAGTCCCGGCTGCTCGGGAGGCTGAGGCAGGAGAATGGCGTGAACCCGGGAGGCGGAGCTTGCAGTGAGCGAAGACCACGCCACTGCACTCCAGCCTGGGTGACAGAGCGAGACTCCGTCTCAAAACAAAAAACAAAAAACCCCACCGGCACACATACCCGCCACTAATCCTGCCCCGAATCCACTAAACTACCTACCAAGTCTCAGCAGTTCATCCACCTCTGCACCTTCCCGGGGAAGACGAACTCTCTGCAAAGCAGGACTTGGGTCTACTGGAAGCTGTGCCTTGGTGCCTAGAATTCAAGTTCATAACACCAAATTTTAAGGTTTATTTAATGTAGAAAATCACCTCATATTGTAGACAGGAAAAAAAAAGCACTTCTCTATGCACGTGTTTGCTTAAAAAGGCACACAAGTCATTAGCAGAGTCTGGGGTGCAAGTCGGGAGAGGGCTGCAGGGAAGGGGAGGACCCAGAGGTGAATCTGAGGAGGACAGGGAGGGGCTGGAGAGAATGGTTTCTTCTTTGTGAGAGTTGGGGGTCCATTATGGAAGACACGCTTTCCTTTTGCAATTTGAACAAGAATGAAATTTGCCTAACAATTGGAGGAAATTGAAGAAAATGCAGAAGTTATTACTTCCAAATCAATTTTTCCAGTCACATAATAAAACACTTTTTGTTTTTTTGAGACGGAGTTTCGCTCTGCTGCCCAGGCTGCAGTGCAGTGGCCCGATCTCGGCTCACTACAACCTCCGCCTCCCCGGTTCAAGCGATTCTCATGCCTCAGCCTCCCGAGTAGCTGGGAATGTTACAGGCGCGAGCCACCACACCCGGCTAATTTTTTATTTTTAGTAGAGACGGGGTTTCCCCATGTTGGCCAGGATGGTCTCGATCTCCCGACCTCGTGATTCGCCTGCCTCGGCCTCCGAAAGTGTTGGAATAACAGGCGTGAGCCACCGCGCCCGGCTTCCATCTTTTTTTTTTTTTTTTTTTTTTGAGACGGAGTTTCGCCCTTGTTGCCCAGGCTGCAGTGCAATGGCGCGATCTTGGCTCAGTGCAACCTCCGCCTCTCGGGTTCAAGCGATTCTCTTGCCTCAGCCTCCCGAGTAGCTGGAATTAAAGCATGCGCCATCACGCCCGGCTAATTTTGTACTTCTAGTAGAGACGGGGTTCTCCATGTTGGTTAGGCTGGTCTCAAACTCCCGACCGCCGCCCGCCTCGGCTTCCCAAAGTGCTGGGATTACAGGCGTGAGCCACCGCTTCCGCCCCCTCCATCCTTTTTTTTTAAAGCTAGGACTTGTCAAACACCACCTCATTTTCTTGACTTCATTTTTTTCTTTACAGAACTACTTTAATGTTTCCAATTTGGGGGTAAAGTCTTAGGATACTTTTTTTCCTCACTTCGCCACGGAAGGTAAGGGAAAGAGCAGGGAGTAAAGTGAGGCGGCCAACTGCCTGCCCCATCCCGGGCCCCACGCACCCGGGCCAGCCTTACCCGGGGCACCCCTGGACCCACGCACCCGGATCAGCCCTGCCTGGGGCACCTCGGGCCCCTCGCGCCTCAACCGGCCTTACCCGGGGCACCCCGGAGCCCACGCGCCTGGACCAGCTTTACCCGGGGCGCCCTGGATCCCACGCGCCTGGACCAGCCTTACCCGGGGCACCCAGGGCCCCAAACACCCGGGGGAGCCTTACCTGGCGGAAAAGGACGCCTGGACGACTGACGCGAACAAAGTGAGGATGGAGGTTTTTAATTAAGGACTGAGGGGACTCAGGATCTCTCGGCTGGCTCCTCCCCTCCTAGTGTGTCCAACCCCCTCTGTCTACATACCCTCGCCTCCTCCCCGGAAATCACATTCTGCCCTAAGCAATTGCTGACTTCCATCGCTGCCTCCCGACTGAGCCCAATTCCTTCTGTCTCCACCGAGCCTTCGCTTGAACGAGCCCCACCCCTCAGACCCGACTTCAGACTGAAATCTGAATAAAGGCACCTCTAAAGCGCCTCATCACCCAGGCGTGAATCCCAAGGTCACCTCATTCCTTTTCTTCAACCTTCGCAGTTAATCCATTCCTGAGTCCTTCAATTTGCCCGCTTTTCTCCATCTCCACAGCTCCAGCCCAGTCCAAGCCCCATTGTCTCTCATCTGAATCACTGAAAACACCCCCAACTGCTCCCTGGTCTCTCCCGCGACCCCTCTGCAATCCTCCTCCCCCTCCAATACCTTTCAGTGGCTTCCTGTTTCGGTTGAATTTCTACCTCCTCATTCTATCCTGACTGCCCCTTCAACATTGTCTTAGCACTACTCTCCTCACAACAGAAACACGGTCTCTTTCTGTTCCTCAGAAAACAGAACTTCCTGCCTCAGGGCCCTTGCACTGGCTGTTTCCTCCGCGAGTTTTTGTTTGTTTGTTTGTTTTTGAGACAGAGTCTTTCTCTTGTCGCCACAGCGCTGGAGTAGTGCAGTGGCGCGATCTGGGCTCACTGCAACCCCCGCCTCCTGGGTTCAAGCAGTTCTCCTGCCTCAGCCTCCCGAGTAGCTGGGATTACGGGAGCACGCCACCACGCCCAGCTAATTTTTTATTTTTTATTTTTTTCTTTTTGAGACAGAGTCTTGCTCTGTCACCAGGCTGGAGTGCAGTGGCGTAATCTGGGCTCACTGCAACCTCCGCCTCCTGGGTTCGAGTGATTATCTTGCCTCAGCCTCCTGAGTAGCTGGGATTACAGGCGCGAGCCACCACGCCCGGCTCATTTTTGTATTTTTAGTAGAGATGGGGTTCCACCATGTTGACCAGGCTGGTCTCGAACTCCGACCTCGTGATCCACCTGCCTCAGCCTCCAAAGTGCTGGGATTACAGGCGTGAGCCACCGCGCCCATCCACCTCTTTGAGTTATTTTCTCAGTTCTTTCAATATGGCTTCTGTTCATCCTCAGGTCTCAGGTCCAATGTCAACTCCTCTAACAGGTCTCCCAGACTACCTTTTCTACAGGAGCCAAACTCCCCACATACCAATACTCTTTTTTGTTTCATTTTGTTTCTTGAGACAGTGTCTTGCTCTGTAATAGAGACTCAAAATTTCTGTTGGACTCCCCAGGCCTGACTTGCCAGGCTCACATGGAACTTGACTTGCCCAACATCATGCAGCTAATAAGCAGAGAAGCCTCAATATCTGGTAGTTCAGTCAATACACAGCACATGAATAAACACAGAATTTTGTCTTTTGTTTTTTATTTTTAATTTATTTGCTTTTTGAGACGTAGTCTTGCTCTGTCGTCCAGGCTGGAGTGCAATGGCACAATCTCGGCTCACTGCAACCTCCGCCTCCCCGGTTCAAGCAATTCTCCTGCCTCAGCCTCCAGAGTAACTGAGACTACAGGCATGCGCCACCACACCCAGCTAATTTTTGTATTTTTAGTAGAGGCGGGGTTTCACCATGTTGGCCAGGCTGCTCTGGAACTCCTGACCTTGTGATCTACCTCCCTCAGCCTCCCAAAGTGCAGGGATTACAGGCGTGAGCTACCACGCCTGGCCTTGTCTTTTGTTTTTAATCCCTTATTTCTTCTTACTGCCTATAATCCCAGCACTTTGGGAGGATGAGGTGGAAGGATCACTTGTTCATAGTTTGAAACAACAACAGCCCTTTCCCAGAACAAACCCTGGGGATTTCGACTGCTTGTGCAGGACTAACAAATTAGCCACAGGATTAGAAATTATGGTTTAGGAATCATGCAGCTGGAGGCTACAAGACTCTGACTCTCCTCAGATTGCTTCTGGGGATAAAAACACTACTGTAAAACCTAAGACCAGGGAGATATTTCACGATATTTTGCAGATCCTGCACTTGATGGATCAGCTGGTACCACCCAGATCAATAAACTGGCTCACCTGATATTGGTGAGTCAATTCCCCACCCAGGAATTGACTCAGCACAGGAAGACAGCTTTGACTCTCTATGATTTCATCTCTGACCTGACCAATCAGCACTCCTGGCTCACTGGCTTCCCCCCTTCCACCAAGTTGTCCTTAAAAACTCTGATCTCTGAATGCTTCGGCAGATTGATCTGAGTAATAAAACTCCGGTCTCCCACACAGCCCACTCTGTGTGAATTACTCTTTCTCTATTGCAATTCCCCCGTCTTGATAAATGGGCTCTGTGTAGGCAGTGGGCAAGGTGAACCTATTGGGCGGTTACAATCACACCACTACACTCCAGCCTGGGTGACAGAGCAAGACCTTGTCTAAAAAAAGAAAAAACCAAACCAAAACAAACAAACAAAAAAACTGGATGAGGTGGCTCAAGCCTGTAATCCCAGCACTCTAGGAGCCCAAGGCAAGACCCTCTCTCAAACAAAAACAACAGGAAAATTTGAACACTGACTGGATATTTGATGATATTAAGAATAACTGTTAATTTAAGTGTAATAAGGTTACTGTGATTAGATTTTTTAAAGGTGAAAGCCTTCTGTTACAGATCACGTGTCCTTGGGCTCTCAGTGCAATAGAAATTGACATAAGGCTGAAAGAGTGTTCCCAGACAAGGCTTGTTCCCAGACTCCGGCTCAAAAAAAAAAAAAAAAAATGAAGGAGGTGCTGTGTCCCATTCTTATTATGTCTCACTTCCAGCCCTATGCTACTAGGTTTGGGGTAAAAAGACTGGGTTCTGGGTTCCAATCGGCCAGTCAAGGCCTATTTATATGAAGAAGTGGAGCTGACTGGTGGCAAAGGGAATAGACTAGTGAGGTGGTGGTGTCCTACAGCAGAGGCCTTGACGCTGGTACATGCTGCCTCTACGGTACTTGGAGAACTTCTAGCAAATAAATTGGCCTGAACAGTTGCTTTGTTTTGTTTTGTTTGTCTATTGAAGCATTTTATTTGTACATGTGTATTACATCCCTAGAAAAAGAATCCCAGGATTTTACCTGCTGCATGTTTTTATTTTCCTTCTTCATGGCCCATGATGTCAGGTGAAGTTGTCAGTACAATGAAACCAAACTGAGGGGAAGGGAAGAGATTATTCTGCCGTTTTTCTAGATCTTTGAGTCGTATGTCGAATCTGGGCCTGATCACTCCACACTTGTGTAACCTTGCCTGAGAGGTTCTCAACAATTTTCCCAGCTCTGTGATCATCAATGACCTCAAATTTGCCAATGTTCAAATGTGAACATTTGAACATGCTTCATCATCAGAGTGCGAAACCAGATGTTGTCTTGGGAGCACAGCCTAATAAGAACCTGGCCTTTGGCTCTCTCTTCAGCATTGTTGATGCTCTTAAGAACATCCACCAGGACATTTATGTGCACCATTATGGTGGCACGATAAAATGGCAGAAAGAGCTAGTTGTTGTTGTTTTTATTTTATTTTACTTTATTTTTTATTTTTTTATTTATTTGAGACAGAGTCTCGCTCTGTCGCCCAGGCTAGAGTGCAGTGGTGCGATCTCGGCTCACTGCAAGCTCCACCTCCTGGATTCATGCCATTCTCCTGCCTCAGCCTCCTGAATAGCTGGGACTACCGGTGCCCGCCACCATGCCTGGCTAATTTTTTGTATTTTTTAGTAGAGACGGGTTTCACTGTGTTAGCCAGGATGGTCTTGATCTCCTGACCTCATGATCAGCCCGCCTCGGCCTCCCAAAGTGCTGGCATTACAGGTGTGAGCCACCACACCGGCCTGTTGTTGTTTTTAATTATTATTATTATTGAGACGGAGTTTCAATTTTGTTACCCAGGCTGCAGTGCAATAGTGCGACCTCAGCTCACTGCAACTTCCACCTCCCGGGTTCCAGCGATTCTTCTGCCTCAGCCTCCCAAGTAGCTTGGACTACAGGCATGCACCACCATGCCCAGTTAATTTTTGTATTTTTGGTACAGTTGGGGTTTCACCATGTTGGCCAGGGTGGTCTTGAACTCCTGACCCAGGTGATCCACGCACTTCAGCTTCCCAAAGTGCTGGAGTTACAGGCGTGAGTCAACATGCCCGGCGTTTTTTTTTTTAAATATTCAGGAAGTATTGTAAAATTCTGTCCATTAGTAACTAATATTTGAGAACATTTACAATAATGAACTTAAAGTTAGATGTATATTTTATTTTACATTTTAATACATCTTAATAGGAGATATTAAGATAATTAAAAATAATTACGGTCACAATTATAATGGCAAAAACATATAAATGTTTGGTGTTAGTATATCTATATACAATTCAGTTTTTGGTCTAAAGTTCTTTGGTTGCCAAAAAGAACATTAGGTTTACTTCATTAATAGGAGTATGTGTTAATGCTGGTATGGCTTCTTAGTATTTTTTTCTGCTGTTATTTTTTGGAATAGTTGCGTGTGATTTTACGAATGCAGTTGAGTGGGGAGACAGATACTCATTATTTTAGTTCCAAAAAAGAGTATATAACTGGTTACTATAGTACTAAGGAGTTAGGCAGGTTATACAACTGCCCAATATTTTTGAGGCCAATAATTTAAGCCTGAAGAATTTAGCCAAGATTCAGGAACTAAAGTCCATAGTAGACAAGGCATGAAGCCAAACTGGGAGTTTAAGAAAAGAACAGAGCCATATATTGCTCTTTCTGGCAATGGTAATGGTGAATTCTCCATGACTATCCTATGGCTTTAGACAATCTCAGCGCTGGGTCCTCTGTGCTAGTGATCAGGAAGCTGCAGGAGGGGGAGAGAAGAAAAATTGAGGGAAAAGTGAACATGCCATGGTGCCCCAACTCCATGCCAGTCACCCTAAGGCAACCTGAGCCTGAGTTTCCTGAGCCTCAACTTAAACATATATCTGTTTTTAAACCAATCTCCCTGAAAAGGTGACTGAGGTCTGAGAGATTCCCCTTACCTTTACCTGCCTTTTCCTCAATCTTTCTTTTCCCACTTTGTAAAATGATGACTCACATTTCTGAACTCATTTTTTTTTTTTTGGATGGAGTTTCACTTTTGTTGCCCATACTGTAGTCCAATGGCGCAATCTTGGCTCACTGCAACCTCTGCCTCCCAGGTTCAAGTGATTCTTCTGCCTCAGCCTCCCAAGTTGCTAGGGTTATAGGTGCTCACCACCATGCCCATGTAATTTTTTGTATTTTCAGTAGAGATTGGGTTTCACCATGTTGGCCAGGCTGGTCTCAAACTCCAGACCTCAGGCGAGCCACCCACCTCAGCCTCAGAAAGTGTTGGGATTACAGGCCTGAGCCACTGCACCCGGCTTTCTTAACTCATTTATAGGGGTATTTCTGCTGAATGTAAAACTCTGGTTGAGCCCAGGAGTTTGAGACCATCCTGGGCAACAAAGTGAGACCTTGACTTTACTAAAAATTGAACAATTGGCTGGGTGTGCTGGAACATACCTGTAATCGCAGCTACTTGTGGGGCTGAGGTGGGAGGATCACTTGAATCCAGGAGTTTGAGG